TAATAATAATAATAATAATAGATTTTGTTTTCATTGAGGTCTAAGGCATCACACAATTGAAATCTGAGTTGGGATGTTAAACATCAGCGAGGGTGACAAATGATTGGTCCCTGCGGTTCAATGGAATGTTGAGAGAAGTGAAATATCAGTGCGGAGGTCAAATGCCTGGTCCCTGTGGCTTAATGTAATGTTGTAAATGATGCGCTGTCAAGCGACTCACTGACTCAAGGTGCCTATCGTCCAACACTCACCAAAGGCACACTTCCAACTCACGCTTTCAAAGATATGATACCGGAGGGCCCAAACAACCATACAAAGCTGGAGCTTGGACGATGTGTTTTGTGTCGCTGGCTAGTAGCTATGTAGAAACTGCTGCGTCTACCAGTAATCTGTTTTTCACGCCATCTATATTAGCACAAGCTAGTTTCTGTAAGGAACTTTTTTAAATTGAAAAATTCACATACAGGGTGGCGCAAAATAAATGTTATAGTTTGTTGTATAGCTTGGTAACAGACCTGCCGTTGATCCACCATGTTTGTCAGGCCGCTAAATTAAACCACATATGTTTGGAATACTATTCACTGATGGCGACGTTTTGGACGTATTGTAAGATATGAGATAGACACTTAGTTTAAATGTAGTGCAATTAAGTGTTACAGTATCAGAAATTATATCAGGAATTTTACGCGGTGCCAGATTTTCATGACATCAATGGTTCACGGTTAAATAATATGTCAAGAACTTAGTACCCGAAATATAATTTACTTCTTCCTAATCCTTCGAAAATGATTGCCTAACGGCTCACCTGACGCAGGCATTGGGTTCGCAAATAATGCAAGAATTTGATGATTTCGGTACCAAATCTGATTAAACGCCGTGTAAGTAACATTTGATTACGGTGGTACCAAATTACCCTGAAACGAGATTTTCCTCAATACAATGTTATTTAAACACCCCCCCTCCCCACCACCAACCTTGAATATATGTTATTAAATATCCCCGGAGCCTTATGAAAGGAGTCGATAAGCTCTTGACAAAGCTACTTCAAATGACCTTAACAACATTTGTATATACCAAACGGCAAACTCTTCGTAACAAGCACAACGCTTTTTCAATATCGGGTCAATATGAAGGCAAAAAGTTGATTATGGAAGTTGAAAGAAGAAACCCCGAATTGAAAAGATGACTAAGCCATTTTGTAAGGAGAAAAAGTGACAGTAACAACATGCAATTAATATCGAAATCCCATCTCAAATAAAGTCATCCATCCATTTCTCTTCGCAAGTACTTTGTATTTCGAAACGTTCTAAGCAGCATTTTGTTAGCTACCTATATACGCTACTTAGTTTCCATTTAAGCGATTCCGTATTCTTTTAGCGTTTCCGAGATCCCAATGGAGAGGCTCAAATTTGAAACACATGCTATATATTTTGTTTACATTAGAGTCTAAGGTATCACACAACTGAAATCTGAGTTGAGATTTTAAATATCAGTGGAAATGATAAAGGCTTGGTCCCTGTGGTTCAATGGAATGTTGAGAGGAGTCAAATATCGGTGCGGAGGACAAATGCTTTGACCCTGTGGTTCAATGGAATGTTGTAAATGAAGCGCTATCGAGCGACTCACGGATTCAAGGTGCCTTTCGCCCAACAATGGCCAAAGGCACACTTGAAACTCATGATACCAGAGGTGTGACACCGAAGGGCCCAAGCAACCATACAAAGCTGGAGCTTGGACGATGTGTTTTGAGTCGCGAGCTAGTAGCTATGTAAAATATAGCGCTTCTGCCAGCTAACTGTATTCCACGCCATCTACATTTACATAAGCTAGTTTCTCTGAGGCACTCAGACAAATAAAAAATTTCACGCACAGTGTGGAGCAAAATGAACTTTATAGTTCCACTTTTCCCGTTTTGTGTAGCTTGTCAACGGACGTACCCTTAGGCCTCCTTGCTTGTCTGGCCGCTAAAGAAGCGAAGGGATCTACACTAGCGGTACTGCTACCTTGTTACATCATTGGAAACTATCTGGAATTTCACTCGGTGCCAGATTTTCATACCACTAATAGTTTACGATTGTCAAAAACTGATCAAGCGAAATCTGAATGACTTCTTCCTCATTTTTCGAAGGAAGTGATGACAAAGTTAGACAGCAGCACAGACGACAAATGGTTACCACTACTGAGCTCGAAAGAGACGCAGGGACAACAGCTCCATATCGATGACGTGCATCGGGTTTTATTTGGTATCCACTATACCAAATTACCCTGAAGCGAGATTTTCCTCAATACAATGTTATTCCCCACCACCAACCTTGCATATATGTTATTAAACATCCCCGGAGCCTTATGAAAGGAGTCGGTAAGCTCTTGGCAAAGCTACTTCAAACGACCTTAACAACATTTGTATATACCAAACGGCCAACTTTTCGAAACAAGCACAACGCTTTTTCCAATATCGGGTCAATATGAAGGCACAAAGTTGATTATGGAAGTTGAAAGAAGAAACCCCGAATTGAAAATATGACTAAGCCATTTTGTAAAGAGAAAAAGTGACAATAACAACATGCAATTAATATTGAAATCCCATCTCAAATAAAGTCATCCATCCATCTCTCTTCAGAAGAACTTTGTATTTCGAAACGTTCTAAGCAGCATTTTGTTAGCTTCCTATATACGCTACTTAGTTTCCATTTAAGCGATTCCGAATTATTTTAGCGTTTCCGAGATCCCAATGGAGAGGCTCAAATTTGAAACACATGCTATATATTTTGTTTACATTAGAGTCTAAGGTATCACACAACAAGATTTTAAATATCAGTGGAAATGATAAAGGCTTGGTCCCTGTGGTTCAATGGAATGTTGAGAGGAGTCAAATATCAGTGCGGAGGACAAATGCTTTGACCCTGTGGTTCAATGGAATGTTGTAAATGATGCGCTGTCAAGCGACTCACGGATTCAAGGTGCCTCTCGCCCAACAATGACCAAAGGCACACTTGAAACTCATGATACCAGAGGTGTGACACCGAAGGGCCCAAGCAACCATACAAAGCTGGAGCTTGGACGATGTGTTTTGAGTCGCGAGATAGTAGCTATGTAAAATATAGCGCCTCTGCCAGCTAACTGTATTCCACGCCATCTACATTTACATAAGCTAGTTTCTCTGAGGAACTCTGATAAATAAAAAGTTTCACGTACAGGGTGGAGCAAAATGAACTTTATAGTTCCACTTTTCCCGTTTTGTGTAGCTTGTCAACGGACCTACCCTTAGTCCTCCTTGCTTGTCTGGCCGTTAAAGATGCGAAGGGATCTACACTAGCGGTACTGCTACCTTGTTACGCCATTGGAAACTGTATCTGGAACTTCACTCGGTGCCAGATTTTCATATCACGGATAGTTTACGACTGTCAAAAACTGACTAAGTGAAATCTGATTGACTTCTTCCTCATTTTTCGAAGGAAGTGATGACAAAGTTAGACAGCAGCACAAACGACAAATGGTCATCACTCCTGAGCTCGAAAAGGACGCAGGGATCTGATTATTTAAATAACAAATTTGATTTAACGCTGCATGAATGGGGTGATACAAGGATGCCCTCAGCCGAGATTTCGCTAAATATATGTTATACAAACACCCCTTCCCCCACGACCCTTGAGTTGAGGCTAGAAGAGCGGAATCGTTAAGGTCTTAGAAAAACCATTTCAAATGATATTAACATTTGCTTATACCATACAACCAACTTTGCCTAAAGGTGGGTACTGATCGACGCTACGAGGTGTAATGTAACATTCGCACCGAATATGTTCGCATCGCGTATGTACGCATTGTGTTCGAAATCGGTGTAACATGCTCGTTTGAAATATGTGCTCCATATTCGCACAGTCTCAGCCAAGATGTCTGACGAGGAGGTTGTGTTGGGATCTTTGATTCTGCTAAATTATTGTTTAATCCATATTAAGAAGAAGAAAAAACGTTATTGGACGTTAGACTTATTCAAAAACAGACACGTATCGGGTGGTTAGTGGACAGTATAAAAACTTTGTTCTCATGTCTCCGATCGATTTTGAAGAACTCGTGAATTTAATTGGACCAAAAGTACATAAAAAGGATACAAATTATAGGAAATCAATCAGTGTCACGGAAAGATTGGCACTAACACTACGTTTTTATGCTACAGGAGATTCCTATACTAGTATGCAATATCTTTTCAAGATTTCAAAGCAACGGATAGGATTTATAGTGAAAGAGGTCAGCGAAGCTTTGATTGGAGTATTAAAAGATTACGCAAAGGTAGGTACTGTTTTAATTAATCCAGAAAAAGTATTCATTACATATCAAGTTAAATCAGACAATTCTGATAGAAATTGTTCACTCGAAGCTGGAGACCCACAGTCAGTTTGATCAGGCGTATGTGAAGCAGGTGCTTCAGGGCTTTGCTGTGGCATCGATAGAGCTCTTGAAGTTGTTGGTCGTGTAGAGTATCCTTGTGAAGAATAGTTATGATCGCCAACATACTCATATTCTCCGCGATCAGCACTAAACAATATATTTGATATGTAATGCTGAACATATGTTCTTGTTGTCTTTGAATAAGATCTTAATTTATTTGCCAAAAAAATATCATAGGCTTCACATGCGTCAAGTTTTTGTGAAGTTGACTCCGTTTGCTCGGTTGTCTTTTTTAAAATATTTAAAGTAGATGCCATTATCTCTTCCGGGTTGGGGGCTACTGCTTTCTTCCTTTTTGGAGGCAGAGGGCAATCAATGTTGCTTGGTTTGGCAGATGGAGGGCACTCAGTGTTGCTTTGTTCTGAAGGACCAGCGCGTAGCTGAAAATAAACGTAAATCATTATTTCAGATGCCAGAAACACTGGAGCAATGGATGGCTGTAGCAAATGAGTATGATAGTTTGTGGAATTTTCCACATTGCCTAGGCGCAATCGATGGAAAACATACTGCGGGCACCGATCAACAGCGGAGGTGAATTTTATTATATTCTTCAGCATTGTATCATTGGCAGTTGTTGATGTAAAATATATTTTTTTGTACGTAAACATTGGATGTCAAGGAAGAATATCCAATGGAGGGGTCTTCAACAACTGTGAATTGAACGACAAAATACAAAATAATGCACTGAACATTCCTGAGCCCACTGCCTTGCCAGCAAGAACGGAAGAAGTTCCATTTTACTTTGTTGGAGATGAAGCTTTTGCTCTATCCGAAAATATGATGAAAGTATATTCAGGATATCATGAACGTAGTTCTAAAGAAAGATTATACAACTACCGACTTTGCAGAGCTCGTAGAGTGATGGAAAATGCGTTCGGCTTATTATCTGCAGTTTTTATAGTTTTGCGGAAACCAATGCTGTTAGAACCAAAAACCGCGACATCTGTTGTAACAGCAATAACACTACTTCACAATTTTTTAAGAAAAGGTAATAACGCTCATGTATATACCCCTGCGGGTAGCTTGGACGAAGAAATAAATGGGATAGTCAGATTAGGAAACTGGAGAGAAAGTAACAATGATATGGCGAGTATATTACCCTTGGAAATAAGACCGCGAAGGGCTTCAAGAACTGCTCACAATATTCGTAGTGAAGTTGCTGAATATTGCATCCAAGAAGGGTCTGTCAGCTGGCAAGAAAATTATGCTTATAATAAGACTTACCGTATCTGTTGTGGCAACAGATGTAGGTATTTCTATCCAGTAGAAACATCATAGTTTTGTATGCAAACCAAGTACTATGGTATACTTCTTCAGCACCTGAAAATAAAGTATTTTTGGAATATAAAACATACCTATATTTATTTTATTTATGTTGTTCTTATACTAATGCTGCCCTCGTTTTGTCTTTGAATCTGACACGTAGCAGCATAATTTGACATACAACCTAACTTTAAAATGTGGTTGAGTATTTGTGGGCTAATCGTACTGTATTATAGGAACTTAAAAAATATAAAAATAATTACCCTTTCCTGTACCACTTGATCTTTTATTTTCCCTTTTTCCGTCCTCAATGACGTCAGTAAGCTTGTCATTTTCGTTTTACATGTATTTCTTTCGCCGTTCACTAACAAAGCCAATCCATCCCAGGCGTCTTCTTTTTTTAATTTGTTGTAGTGCTCTGGATGAGCTGTATTCCACAATACCGATTCTTCTCTATATTTTTCGATGAAATGGAGAGTTTTTTCTTTGTTCCACTTCATATTCCTAATAATAAACGAACTAATAAACGAAATGAACACCGTGTGCGCGTGCGCTCCTCTGGTGCGCTCGTCAGGACAAGTTGCAGCGAACTGACCGAACCGCGTAACACTCAAAGGATTCGCCGAAAAACCGACGATCAAAATATCATGCACCTATTGCTGCTCGTTGAACAAACTACAAAATTGTTTTAATCCTGTTCTATATAAAGGGTCTTTTCAAAGCTGAGTGATTTATTTCAACTGCTTGTATGACTCTTCAAAAGCAGCTGATATACCAAAAATCGCCTAATTAAAGGATTAGAAAATGAAAAAAAATAAGAATGTTATTACACAGATTTTTAGAAATGCTCGACCACTGCCATGTAAAATCTTCGCGCTTCTTGTTTACCACTCTTATCGTTTATCTAAATTTGGCAAGCCTTTTGTGTTACTGTATGGTTTTCAGTACGAGTCTTTGGTTCAATCAGTTGTACTGATCTTTTAATAGTGCCTATACTCTCATTTGTCTGATTATTTTCTGCGAAAAAAAGTGCCATGTTTACGAAAACAATGAACTAGTGAACATAATACAAATAATAATAATAATAATAAAAATAATAATAATAATAATAGGAATAATAACTGATATTGTTTTCATTGAGGTCTAAGGTATCACACAATTGAAATCTGAGTTGGGATGTTAAACATCAGCGAGGGTGACAAATGATTGGTCCCTGTGGCTTAATGGAATGTTGTAAATGATGCGCTGTGAAGCGACTCACTGACTCAAGGTGCCTATCGTCCAACACTCAAAAAAGGCACACTCGCTACTCACGATGTCAAAGATGTGATACCGAAGGGCTCAAACAACCATACAAAAAGATATGAGATAGACACTAAGTTGAAATGTAGTACAATTAAATGTTTCAGTATCAGAAATTATATCAGGAATTTTACTCGGTCAAAAACTGAGTACCCGAATCATAATTTACTTCTTCCTAAATCCTCCGAAAATGATTGCCTAACGGCTCACCTAACGCAGGCATCATTGAGTTCGAAAATAACGCAAGAAGTTGATGATTTCAATACCACATTTGATTAAACGCCGTGTAAGTAACATTTGAATACGGTGGTATCAATTTGCTTTGAAACAAGATTTTCCTCAATACAATGTTATTTAAACACCCCCCCCCCCCCCCCTCCAGCCTTGAATATATGTTATTAAACGTCCCCAGAGCCATTGAGCTGAGTCCTAATGAAATGAGCTCATGACAAAGCTATTTCAAATAACCTTAACAACATTTGTATATACCAAACGGCCAACTTTTCGTAACAAGCACAACGGTCTTTCCAATATCGGGTCAATATGAAGGCACAAAGGTGGTTATTGGTTATGGAAGTTGAAAGCAGAAGCTCCGATTTGAAAATATGACTAAGCCATTTTGTAACGAGAAAAAGTGACAATAACAACATGCAATTAATATTGAAATCCCATCTCAAATAAAGTCATCCATCAATCTCTCTTTAGAAGAACTTTGTATTTCGAAACGTTCTAAGCAGCATTTTGTTAGCTTCCTATACAGGGTGTTCCATAATTATTGCGACAAAATGATAGGGGTTGTAGAGGGCATAAAAATATGCAATTTTGCCTCATAAACCCCTGTTCGTAAATATGCCGTTTGAGCACTACCGCTAATTTTACCTTAAGAGAAACAAAAAATTCAACAGCTGCAAAATGTTCGTCTACCACATTTCATGGTCTCGCCGAGTTGTAAAAAAAGCCTGCTGTGTTTACATTTTTGTTATCGTAAATTCTCCACACCGATTTATTTAATTTATCTGAGTGGTGCGTCAAACTAGAGGCCAATCCGCGTACAAGCGTGCGTGCTATTGCACATGAAATGGGAGCGTCTCAAACTACTGCTTGGCGGGTTCTCCATAACCAGCAACTACACCCATACCACCTTTTAAAAGTCCAGAAAACTATCTGCCGCGTCGACGTTTTTGTCGTTGGTGGCTGCAGCAGGAGTTGAGGCAACCAAACTTTGGTCGCTACGTTTTGTTCACTGACGAGTCCTGTTTCACAAAGGAAGGTTATTTTAATAGCCGTAACAGTCACATTTGGGATGAAGAAAACCCTCATGCCATAGCCATCCATAGAGACCAACATAGTTTTCAATTAACATCTGGTGCGGCATTGTGGACGAGCATATCATCGGGCCATATTTGCTTCCACCACGTTTGGATGGGCATGCTTATGGTCGATTCTTACAGCATGTGCTACCGGAACTATTAGAAAATGTGCCACTGAACATAAGAGCCAACACGTGGTTTCAACACGATGGCGCTCCAGCCCACTTTTCTTTACAAGTGCGGCAGTATTTGGACGACAAATAGGTGGATCGGCCGAGGTGGCCCTGTGCCTTGGCCTGCGCGGTCACCCGACCTGACCCCACTGGATTATTTTCTCTGGGGCCATCTGAAAGCTTTAGTGTACGAAACTACTGTTCCCAACCAACAAGAGCTACTGGGAAGAGTGATGGCCGCGTCCGCACATGTTCAGGACAAACCGGGGGTATGCCACAGAGTTCGCCGATCATTGAACAATCGTGCACAGCAGTGTATTGAGCAAGGTGGAGGACACTTTGAGCAATTACTGTAGGTAAGCTGTTTCAAGAAACTGATCTTTTTTTTTTTTGCTGCATCCCAAACGGCATATTTCCGAACAGGGGTTTATAAGGCAAAATTGTTCATTTTGATGCCCTCTACAACCCCTATCATTTTGTCGCAATAATTATGGAACACCCTGTATATGCTACTTAGTTTCCATTTGAGCGATTCCGTATTCTTTTACCGTTTCCGAGATCAAAATGGTGAGGCTCAAATTTGAAACACCTGCTATACATTTTGTTTACATTAGAGTCTAAGGTATCACACAACTGAAATCTGAGTTGAGATTTTAAATATTAGTGGAAATGATAAAGGCTTGGTCCCTGTGGTTCAATGGAATGTTGAAGGAGTCAAATATCAGTGCGGAGGACAAATGCTTTGACCCTGTGGTTCAATGGAATGTTGTAAATGATGCGCTGTCAAGCGACTCACGGATTCAAGGTGCCTTTCGCCCAACAATGACCAAAGGCACACTTGAAACTCATGATACCAGAGGTGTGACACCGAAGGGCCCAAGCACCCATACAAAGCTGGAGCTTGGACGATGTGTTTTCAGTCGCGAGCTGGTAGCTATGTAAAATATAGCGTCTCTGCCAGCTAACTGTATTCCACGCCATCTACATTTACATAAGCTAGTTTCTCCGAGGAGCTCTGACAAATGAAAGATTTCACGTACAGAGCGGAGCAAAATGAACTTTATAGTTTCACTTTTTTGTATAGCTTGTCAACGGACCTACTCTCAGTCCTCCTTGCTTGTCTGGCCGTTAAAGATGCGAAGGGATCTACACTAGCGGTACTGCTACCTTGTTACGCCATTAGAAACTGTATCTGGAATTTCACTCGGTGCCAGATTTTCATATCACGGATAGTTCACGACTGTCAAAAACTGACTAAGCGAAATCTGATTGACTTCTTCCTCATTTTTCGAAGGAAGTGATGACAAAGTTAGACAGCAGCACAGACGACAAATGGTCACCACTACTGAGCTCGAAAAGGACGCAGGGACCTGATTATTTAAATAACAAATTTGATTTAACGCTGCATGAATGGGGTGATACAAAGATGCCCTCAGCCGAGATTTCGCTAAATATATGTTATACAAACACCCCTTCCCCCACGACCCTTGAGTTCAGGCTAGAAGAGCGGAATCGTTAAGGTCTTAGAAAAACCAGTTCAAATGATATTAACAACATTTGCTTATACCATACGACCAACTTCGCCTAACAAGCACAACGCTTTTTTGTACTCAGTCACGCGCATTCTACGTATGGACTAAGCACAGCTCGCAGAAGATTGCGAACGTAGATATGAAAATATCATGCACCTATTGCTGCTCGTTGATCAAACTACAAAATTGTTTTAATCCTGTTCTATATAAAGGGTGTTTTCAAAGCTGAGTGATTTATTTCAACTGCTTGAATGACTCTTCAAAAGCAGCTGATATACCAAAAATCGCCTAATTAAAAGATTAAAAAATGAAAAAAAATAAGAATGTTATTACACAGATTTTTAGAAATGCTCGACCACTGCCATGTAAAATCTTAGCGCTTCTTGTTTACCACTCTTATCGTTTATCCAAATTTGGCAAGCCTTTTGTGTTACTGTATAGTTTTCAGTACGAGTCTTTGGTTCAATCAGTTGTACTAATCTTTTAATAGTGCCTATACTCTCATTTGTCTGATTATTTTCTGCGAAAAAAAGGGCCATGTTTACGAAAACAATGAACTAGTGAACATAATACTAATAATAATAATAATTATAATAATAATAATAATAATAGGAATAATAACAGATTTTGTTTTCATTGAGGTCTAAAGCATTACACAATTGAAATCTGAGTTGGCATGTTAAACATCAGCGAGGTTG